CTTCCCCAGCTTATCTTTAGCAAAGGTCAACAAATCCATTCGACTTTTGATTAGGTCTTCAGCTAGCACCATATTGCATGGATAATTTTAATCTTCAACTCAGAGGTTTGTTCTGTCTGTATTCATATATACGTTTTTATTCTGTTAGCTCTTCTTCAAAAGCAATAAAACCAAATAAAATATATCCGATCAATCATTCAAAACTCAATCATTCTTTGAAACGAGAAATTCAACATACTCAACTGATGTAAAATATTATCAAAAATTACAGCAAATACAAGTGGTGAAATGGCACAGCGGTAGTGTGCCAGCAGGTCTTGAGTTCGAATCTACCTATGACTACATATTTTTCGAACGTCGCTGATGCCAAAACAAAAACAACAAATGGAATAGAATGAGTTGAATCAGCAACTTCACATTCGTATGCAAGACCATTTTGTTGTCTCCTTAATTTCACAACCATTGGTATCAACTGTAATCAAAAATTGATACAAACGTAAGGATTTCTGAATTCTGAGTGAACTTATATACTTACAAAGTCACCAACAAAGAGAGGACAGCGCGACATCTCCGGGACTCACTTTGCATGCAGCAATTAAATCGAAGGTACCTTTGGAATACACAAATGAAAATATACGTGAGGAACAGCGACCTCAAGCGCCCAACATTGAACTGAAATATATGCGGTGAACGGGTTTTCATATCAAATGAGGTCCAATTTCTTTTTGGGAAATGACAATATCTTGTGGTGAGACAATCATTACAACTATTTGATTCACTAAAAAAAGTAAGGTCCATATATTGTCGCGGACCTCATTTCAACTGTAATTTTTCAATGTAAGTAGCTCACTTCCTTCTCTGGAAAACTATGTATTTTTGTTGGACAATACAGTTTTTTTTCTTATTATATTATTTTTTTGCCTTCCTCAACCACCTTCTGAGGTTGCTTGAATAGGATTGTTTATTGACTTGTCTAATGAATATCTCAATTGTACATTCATTTATTGAAACACTTCTGTACAAAACTAATAATAATGCAATGGGCTTGTAAATTAATACAAAAAAAAACTTCTCTCCAATTTACCACAAGAAATGCCACTCTGAAGCCATGATGGTAGTTGAAATATCCATACTTATGAGTTAATCAGAATCACTTGCACTTGATTCAAAATCACCAACATCAATGGAAAATTTATATTCTTGATCACATCCTAAATAGGCATCACTCATAAAATAAAGTGTATAATTGTGGTGTCCTGGACTTGGAGCCACAAAATCTAATTTAACTCGAGCTCTTTGCTGCAGTGTTAACCTTTTGATTGAAAGAAGTGAATTTGTTTTTGGGTCACCAATAACTACCCACCAGCCTTCCTCGCGTTTCTGTAAAGTAAAATAGATTTTATATAATAAAAATACAATCGAAACAACTGAAAATTACTTTGATTCTCTCAATTATTTTGCTTGTTTTAGACTCTAAAAATTTAATTGATATTTATTTATTTAATTGATACACATAAAAATACAAAAAATAAGAATATGAATACTAAGGAAGAAATAGATATAAAGACAGCAATTGCTAGTATTATGTATAAAAATAGCTACTAAGTGACTTAACACATGTGTTATGCTATAAAGTAATACTAATTAATATGAAATTACAGTTATGTGCAGAGAGTTAGGAAACAATTTAGTGGCAGTTATAGGTGTTCTAATATTTTGATAAATTCAAAGTATTTTTTGAAGATAACTGTTTTGATTCTATTGAGAAGGTTTTATAATTTCTAATATGTTTTATCCTTCGCGGTAGAATATTACAAATTTTAGGTGGTGTGTAAGTTAAAAAGTGATACATATTTTTATTGAATTTTATAGTGGGTAACAATTCATTTGTTGTACTTTTAGTAATATAAAATATGGAAACATAATTATGAAATGTTTTGTTTTTGAATGCATACTGGCAATAGTGATATCATACAATAACATTTCTCTGTTTAAAATCTGTTTTTTCGTTAATTGTCTTTACTGAAGCATATGCGTTTTTAATTGGTTGATACGAAAATTTATTCACAACTGCAAAACACCCTGATGAGAATTTAGTTGTTTTTTTCTACAAGATCTTTCCTGAATAATATTTTGGATAGATTACATTAAAAATAGGGTATTTGTCTTTTTTTGAATGTTGTTTTTGACTTCCAATAGGTCAGTATTAATTTTTGAATTGAATCTTTGGTGATCTTTATCATGCCGAAACAGAGTTTCATCATCGGCAAAGAGAATAAAATTTCCATAAGGATCTAGCTAGGTTAATATACAATAAAAAAAAAGGTAAAGCCTGAATCCGAACTTTGGGAAACACCTGAGTTTATACCATCTAGTTTTCACAAACTGNTCATAAGTTTTTATATTGATTTTTATAAACTTAATGCATTCATAAATGTATAGTGACGGTATAGTTAAGATACCAAATTTTATAAATTTTTCTCTAATATCCTCCCTATAAGTAAGAGAGAGCATATATCGAATAGCTCGTCTCTTCAGTAGACAAAGTGTTATATATTTTTATGGGAAGAAACTCTGTTTGTTTGGCTGTGTTTTGATAATGCATCTTCGGTAGTCTAATGATGTCTTTGTGTCATGATTGTGAATCCTAGAGCCACATTATATTTATTTTTATGTACAAACAATATTGCTTCTAGAATATAAATGTGAGGTAACGTAGGTATGACCCATTTTATAAATATTGGTTTAGCATGGGTTTTGGTACCAACTTTTGAGCTTTAATTTCTTCAAAACTGATCTATAATTTTTTTGATACTGATTAATATAATTTGTGAGGAAAGGGTTATTTAAGAATTTTCTTATGTAATGTATGCAATACATATTTTGTGAAGAAATCTTCATGCCCAGGTTAACCATTATTTCTTTCTTTCCATAAAAATTTTCTGAATGGAAAAAGCTTTTGGAAAAAATAACACATCATATCGTAGAATTTTTAAAAATTCAGTTCCTTCTGCAGCTGAAAGAGCACTGTTTCTTTAATAATTGTCACAAAGAATCAAACTTATGGTTTTCTCTAATATATAGTCTTCCAAGTTTAGTTGTGTCCTCTTTGGATCTAAATTGCACTAATACTGTTACATTATTGCATTATTAGTTACTATGTGTTACATCACAATTCACCTCATATTTATAGATTTGAATTCAGTAAATTTTAGAGTATCCAGCTTGGCCAGTTCTCAATGACCTCCTCATGCTGACAATGAGTTTTGAAAGTAGCTAACTCATGAGTCTTTTGCACGAGTTAATGTTAATTTGTTAACATGTTTCACTTTTATATAACAAATATTTAACTTACTGATAAGGTGTGCATTTTTCAATCAAAGATACCTCTTCTCATGTTAAAAGATACTCATCTGCAAATTCTCAAAATTGTAGGAACCGTTTGTTCTCATTCTTTTTTAGTAACAGAAATATAGATATATTGTTTTTAGTACTTGTGCCATGTAAGGTCAAGACTAAGCAAAAGAGTAAATAAATGAATTTGGGGTTTGAAAACCACATCTAATAATATCCAACACAACACTACAACATTTTACTTAACCCAAGATACTGAACTAATAAACTCATTCATAAAACGTAAGGCAAAAAATTAAGTTTCCCAAGAAACTTGAAAGAAGATAACAGAACATCCAAGTTATTCTTTAAAAAATCGCATATAATGAATTGATACTAACCTGCGGATAGAACGGAGCAATAACCGGTCCGCTAACTTCATCCTCTCTCTCTAATTGTACAGCAACATGGACTGATGATCCAGAATGTAACTGATCTTTGTCCAGGACTTCGTATGTGAGTTCTATATTTGGGTATCTGTTACAGAATTTAGCTACATCAGCCATCTGATTGTCGGTCAACTGAAGTAGTTTGGATCTGTCTTCATCTTCCAATTCCATTATATCAAAAACTGTTTCGACACCCTGAAAATTATAAAATGATGTTGAAACAATTTTTCATTTGTACCTGAATTATAATGAAATCAAATGTAATTATAGTTACAACAATAAATTGGATGAAGTATATTTTTCAGAAATGGGGTTAAAAAAGTTATTTGGCTTTCTATTTCTCCATCTACATGTTTCGTCTTGTATTGTTATCCAAAAAGGTGCTGATGATGATATTAAGGCAGGTGTCTCCACAAATGACGCAATACTTGAAATTTTAGACTCACTACCAAATAAGAAATCTACATGTCCAGACGAGATTTCAACTTCAGTAATTAAAAACACCAAAGGAATAATTATACCAGCTTTGGAGCATATCATCAATCTGTCCATATCGCATATCATCGATCTGTCCTTATGCTTCTATAATTCTCATTTTCAAAACCAAGTAATATTGAGAATTATAGACCAATCGATTTATTGAGCAAGTAATAGGAATTGGACAAAATAAAAATTTTGGAATATGTGGAGAAACGAACATCAAGCGTAACACCAAAGTTATATTTTGACAAAACTTTTTCTTTATCTGATAAACATTCCTGTAAATTATCAGAATAATTTGAAAGAATAACAATGTTTTGTATTTCTGTTCGATCTTCTGATATAATTTTTCTAAATCATGTTAATTCATAGGAGTTTATTTTTCAGATTTTGGAAAGTTAAAAAAAGCGTTCCCGTTTTGATGGAAATATTGAAAAAAATGAATTTCATTAGTTCGGACTTCTATTGTCTGATATTATATAAAATGATTTGAAATCCCTGAAATAACTAAAAAAGAAGAATAAAAATGAATAGCCGAAAAAAAAACAATTATATTGAGCAAAAAAACCTGAAATGAAATAATAGTGAAATAAAATACAAGTAAAATTGAACAAATTAAATAAAATAAAATTCAAAGTTAAGAGATCCCAAGTCAAGTTAATTCACAACTTTTCGATTGTTAGTATCCACAATCGTCTTCGGGTGATCACTGAACCGATTCCTCCGTGAGCTGACTATTTATAGGTCATTTGAGAACTTTCACTTATCTCTGCTTTCCTTTTTCCGCTTCACTGGTTTAGTAGGAGGTGACCGTTTGGCGGGAGTTGGCCATTTTTCGCTTGATAATGGGTTTCCATATGTTGTGTATCTCTACGCTAGCTTGGCTGAATACATTGTTGGATAACATGTATGCAGCTTCTTCGAATTTCCTCCTAAACCAATGTTCCTCTTTGTGTATGATCTCATCTTGGGACCATTCGATGTTATGTTTATGGGTCCAAACATGCTCTGCTATTCCTGTTATTTCAGGGATTTCAAATCATTTTATATAAGTAATATCAGACAATGGCAGTCCAAACTAGTGAAATTCATCATGAAACATTGTCAATCACCTTCAAACAAACATTGAAAAAAAACAAAACAATATGAATAAATTAAACATTTAAATGTACTCACTTTCTCAGTACACCTCTTGATGATCTCATTATTAAAATGCGGCAGCTGTTTCAAATATGAGTCTTTGCTCCACATTGCTTGCGTTACCATCTGGGCTAATTCCATAGCAGCAACTGCAGGCGACAACCAACCATTTGAACTCAAAACATCGACACAAGCTTGAATAAGCCTTATGGCTTTAGCAAGAACAATTTCTGTATCTCCTTGAAGTTCCGCTCCAAGCTGTAACCTGCACAGATGGGCTTGAAGCAAAAGGTTCGTTTTAACGTGAGGATCGTTAAATTTGGGTTGATCCCCAGTTAATTTGTTAGGAAGTTTTTGGGCAAGTTGTCTCAATATGTGGTCTTCACGGTGCCGAACAGGGATGTCTTCGTATTCTTCTGCAGAAGAAATAATTTCCAGTAATCCTCTGATTTTTGTTTTGCTGTTCAGAGAAGAGCTGAACAATTCTGAAAGGATAAATAATATTAGTGTCATCAAAAGGATCAACTCATCTTCTAAACCACGTTTATTCATAAAATCTTACCTATAGTTGCATAGTTGATGTAATAATATGCTGCTATCATTCCCAGATTCAATGGCACACAATCAATTTCCTCTTCGATACTTATGCATTTTGATTGCTCCAAAGCCGACAGTGTTGTCTCAACAAGTTCCGACAAATGGTCTGATAAATGTCTGTGAGTTACTCCTTGGAGATTGTAGTAATTTGGATTTTGTGTCAAACGTCTGTACACAAAAGTCCAGGTTAGATAATCAACTGCATCCTGTTTATTCTCTATGGTTTTTGTAACAATTTCAGCATTAAAATGATCATGTAAACTGTGATCCAAATGACTCTGAAAGAATACAAAATCTAAAAGAATGTCCATATTCTAGTGGTTGAATAGCTTATTACCCAAAATCTATTATATTATAATGGTAGAAAGAACAGGCTATAGAAATCTGTGTTAAAAATTTGGTAGCACTCACTTCCACTGGTAAAGGATCACTCAAAAACTTTTTGAAGAAATCCTTTTTAGAACTCTGACACATCAGCACACACTTGGCATCATCATCTTCTAATGGTCTATTGGCTCTTCCTACCATTTGGAGAACATCAGTGATTGGATAGTCCTCGTAAGCATGAACTTTTCCATTATAAAATTGTGTATCCATAATCACAACTAAATGACTGAAAATATTAACGGCCCAACACAGATCTCTAGTTACTACGGCTACCTGAACAGCCCCAGAATCAAATAGTTGTTCCACAAGACGTAAGTCGCTAGCTGTTAAACCTTCATGCATGTAAGCAACGCCTTGTGACAGTGTCTCCTTCAATGTCTGAAAATAATATTAATGTATCAGATGTTGAATTTCAAAGGAAATATTTTTAGATCATTTCCTTAAAAAAAAGTTTTTTTGAGAAGTACCAGATTTTACTTCGCAATAAAATAGTTCTGACCGATTTAGGAAATGAAAAAAAAATTTTTTAGTTACTATGAAGTGACACTTTTAGATATGAAAAGAAGTGACACTTCTAGGTATGAAAAGAAGTTACCACTACTTGTAAAATAATATTAGTCACCTTATCTGACATCCTGTCCAAGAATGGCTTAATATCTTCTTCTTCTGCATGGAAAAATTTTTTTTCATGTCCCTCAGCAACAGCATAGGTCAGCAAATCTATCGCAGTCATTCTAGCTTGCTTTCTAGTTGGTACAAAAACTATTACTGGTTTGTGAGGACTATGTCTCAGGATGGCATTGTACACAGGTTTGGCCATTGCTATTAACCTTGAAGCGTTGTGAGTTATATTTATACCCTGAACATGGAGCTCTAAGCTAACAGGCCTAACACTAGGGTGAAAATTAAAATATGCATTAGCATTGCAGCCTAACCATTGAGCAACATCTTTATAATCCGTCAGGGAAGCACTTAAAGCAATGATTCTTATCGGTTTCTCAATCTGAGATGAGATGTACCTCATCCTAGAACAAACGACTTCTATGACAGGACCGTCGTCCCCTCCAATCAGATGTAGTTCATCAACGATGAACAAGTTTATATTTTGAACGTTTTTCCTTTGTTTCCACCTTCGAGAAAGAACATCCCATTTTTCTGCAGTTGTTATTACTATCTGTCCTTTTGCAAGAAGCTTAAGGTCGGTACCTGTTTCACCAGTCAAAAGTACAACTTTTCTACCCAAGCTCTGGCCAAACTTGTTGTGCCAATCGGCGAAAATGAGCTCAGCTAAAGCATCTCTCGGTACCATGTACACACACCTTCCTTCAGGATTCCTCTCAAATAATCTCAAGATAGCAAATTCTGCTATCGTCGTTTTACCTGATCCAGTAGGTGCTCCAATGAATATGTTGTCATCACCGTTATAAATGGAATTGAATACCTATCAACAAAAAAATTATATGCAAACATTGGTTTCCCTGTTACAGTGCAAAATTTATTGGGTAGTATAAAATTACGTAGCGGAAATATGAAGTAATAAAAAAGTGAAAACATATTTTTCATTGGGAAGGATCATGGGATATTTGATTATTCAACACCTAAGCTGAAAAGTCTCGGACTTAAGAAAGAAAACGCGTTTTATTCGTTCAAAATTGGCTTTATTCATCAACGTAATTTCCATCAAGACCCACGCAATCATTCCAGCGCCACTCTAACATTTCAATACCATTTTTGTAGAACAAATTATCATTTGCCTCGAAATAGGCCTCAGTTTCAGCAATAACCTCTTCATTCTTGCAAAATTTCTTACCAGTGAGCATTTTTAGAGGTTTGCCAACAGCCAGTAATCGCTGGGAGCCAAATCTGGCGAATACGGTGGATGTGGGAGCAATTCATGTAGTTTTGGCATTGTTTAGATTGACTTGTGACACACTGGGTTGTCTTGATGAAACAAATTTTTTCTCTATCCAGCCGATTGGTAGTTTTTCCAACAGATATAGGGAAGTTACGTTGAATACTGCCCCAAAATACGCAATTTTCCAAGAGCGCCAACCAAATTAAGTAATTATGAAATCTAACCTAACCACCCTAATCTTCATTAATAATGATAATGTCAGGTTCTGGAGAAACAGCCACTATAATAAAGTCAGGCTCCCAGGATACAGTCATTACAATAAACTCCGGAAGTGGAGTGAATTGGTGATCTTCGAACCAAAACCAACCCACAGTTCTGGGTTGGGTGATTCTCGAAAGATTGGGAAAAACTCATTCGTTACTCCAAATTCAACGTTCGGGTCGTCGGGATTGCTAAATTTTTCAAACTCGTCCACCTCATGAAGTAAGTCATGTTCCTCGTTTGGATCCATGATCTACCCATCATACTCATCATCCGGACATGTTAAATCAATTGTTGGAACTTGATTCTTCCCATTGAATTCCCGATTATTCAGACATCCCTTCTCAATCTTGAAAATCCTATTGACTATTGTAAATCTTTTCCATGCTTTCCACCTTCCCAATAGGATAGTGAAATTAGGAATAGTGGTGGTATTTAGAAGGAAGCTGGATTTGAATTTACTTTAATTTTTTTGAAAATCACGAAATCATTTCTGATGTTTGTATGATTATTTAAGACAGTCATTAAATTAATAATAATCGACAAAAGAAAGGAAAGTTAACAGTTTTGAATGATGTAGTACTGCACTTGAAATGTTACATTTGTAAGCAAACCCATTCAATATCATAAATAAAAATTAATCAAAGAAGTCAAGGTTTTACTTCACTATTAAAATATAAGAACGGGGAATTTGTTGAAAAATATTTTGACTCACCTGTGTCTGTATTGGATTGAACTGTGGAAATTTATCAGAATATAGTGCCTCATACTTCTCATTCCTGAGAGCTGTTATTGGAAGTGGCTGTAGATCCAATAATTCAGTTGGAGGATAATTCTTCTCAGGTAAAATCAAATGCTTAAATGAAACAGGCAGTTGCGTTTCCACCCCTATCCATCGATCAGAAACTATTCGTAAAAAGTAGTGAGGTGACAAAGGTTCAAATATCGGCACAAAGAATTTGACCGAATGTTCATCTTCGCAATATTTGGATTTCAGTAAGAAGTATTCATGATGTAGAATCACTTCAGAATCAACGTCCTCTACTAGAATCCAAAATGCTTCCGATTCTCCATGGAGTTTATCATCCCACTTAAAATCTGGGGTAATGGTTAGTTCCACTTGCAGCATGGATCTAGTTATTGGCTGAATATGTGTTGAAAGTTCCAATTTAGGAAACTGGTGCACATATTTATGGATAGTCTTACCCAATTTAGGAACACGAATCAGCTCTCCAATTTCATTCGGACCCAAATCATATAACCTAAAATATATTTTTTATTTTTCAGTCTTGAAAAAAGTAGTGTTGGCATAAGTATGTGAAATGAAATTACGTAATGATGACAATAAGATAAATAATGAAGTAAGGTGGAGCATGTGCGTGGTATGGTTTGCAAAGTTCAAATTCAACAAGACCTAAAAATCTGCTGTAAATGCCAGGTTAATATTAATTTTTATTTTAGATACCTCTGCATTCAATGTATTCATTACTATTTCCTGCTTAAATTGAAAGGAGTATATTTTTAGGAGAGATTTATTTTTGGGAAAGAAAGTTTCAGTTTTCTACTTCTCCATGTTTATACTTCCAAAGAAAGGAAGAAATCAATTGATTTCAGAATAAACTCTTTACTAAGATATGTAGATTATGCAAAGAAGTAACTTTCAGACACAAATTGAAAGAAAAAGCCGTCTCAAAACAACTACCTTCACATCAACATTGAATTACACGAAAAAAAATACTTTTGAAACAACTACTTTCATATGAACATCAAATTATACAAAAAACACCTTTTTTCCATTCAGTATGTACTCCAAACATTCCTGCTTTAGTCAAATTTATATAACTAACTCCAATATGTCAACTTTGCTCATTCCTGAAATATCTGAAGAAATGGTTCTTAACACTTCAAAAAAGGCAAATCCAAAATGACAAAGGGACATGATGGAATATCATGCTTTCGTCTGATAGATTGTGCAATCATTAACCATTGTTTTCGACCTGGCCCTGTCAAAATTTAGTTTTACCAATATCTGGAAAGATGGTAAAATTTGTCCTTTTTTTCAAATAAGGGTGACAACTATAGTTGAAAACTACAGGCCAATTGTAATACTCTAAAACTTCAGTAAACTTTTTGAATTGGTTTTATATGATGTCAAATGCCAAATTACTGAAAATCGGCAAGGTTTTATTAACCTACGGTCAACCGTGACTAACATGATCTGTTTTTCTCAATTTTTATCTATTGTTATGAACTTATCTTCCCAAGTAGACGTCATCTGCGCAGATTTCTCAATAAGCTATTTGATTATGGCCTGACTGAAGGCTTCATACGTTTCTTAAGAGTCATACCTCATTGAAAGAAAATACTTTGACAATACCTTGTTATCAAGTCTATCAAATTTGTAGCATTTTCTGGTGTTCCACAAGGTTCTGTACTGATACCTAATTTTAATAAATGATATTGGTTTGGATATACACCCTAAAATCCATCTCTACTTAGACGATTATAAGATATTTGGTGAGACATTATCATTGAAACACATATTTTGTGAATTCCATCTACGATATGGTATTTGTTCCTCGGGTGAGAGCATCCAAAACCTAATTCATTCTGTTTGCCAAGCAAGAGCTCGTCACTCCTGCAGATGACTTTTCTTGAACCATCTCATTTTACTATTAGTTTATTTCTTCATACCAAAATTGGCTTTTGCATAAAAAAAGCACAAAAAAACATCATATCAATACCAGGCTGTTCAACTTGGCTCGGCAATAATCCTATCCCCTCGTCAACACAAATCAAGCAATCAATTTTTCAAAAAAGAAAGAAGCTTATCCACCATCTTTCTTTATCGATTAAAAAACTCGGAAGATGAGGAAACTTTCACTTGAAAAAGTATACTCAGCACAAATGAATTTCTTGAGGACGATCTTCAACATATCACATTTTGAATATGATAATATCATATTTTTTTATTATCATATATATTTAATTGAATATTCCATATTGACTTTTTTTTTCATTGTACAATTCACAGCTCAATATATTCCTGTCAAATTGGTACCTCAAGGGTATTTCCATCTGATTGCCAATTAACCCAATCTAGTCCTAGTATATGTATACTTTTTTACCAACTTGTACTTAATTTTTATTTTATTTTAGAATCAGAGTTTTGTATTTTTCCACAATAAAGCATGTTTTTATTTGATTGACTGTAAACCTATCTTCAGATATTAACATGCTAAATAACCGCTTCGCCTAAACATAGCAAATTGCAATACAATTGGTGCATATGGTGGTGAAAAATCATTGATTCATTTCTTTTATTCACTGAGAAAGCACACTCTTACAAAGGATGACTGAATTTCAGGACCTCCCACATAAACTCTATTATTTCTACTGGCTACAGAACTCTTGGTTTGGCAAGAATATAACTTGCTTTGTCCTCTTGCTTGCATTTGTGAAATAAAAATTTTAATTTTGAAGTATCATATGGAGTCATGGTTACAAAATATAGAAAATATATAGAGGAGATTTTTGAAGTATATAGTTTCAAATGTGATGGAGTTTATAACCCAATTGTAGTATTCTACAAGAGCAATTACTGTCTAGATTTCAGATGGACCTTTCAGATAAACAGCCTACTCAGATAGGTATATTATTTTGATATGAAATCTTAAGCTCTCACATCAATTGTTCATACTTTCTGGCACACATGAACCTTGACATACCCAGATTGGAAGAATTGGTAAAAACATATGTAGATTTTTTGGCTGTTCAGGGTGCTGTAGACAGTTTTCATTGTAATCGAGATCTCATTATTCCTTAGATGGACAAGTTTTGACTTTGGTAGGCTGTCATTACACAAGTTTCAATAATCAAGATAAACGTTTCTCGAGATGATTGTAAGAAAATTCTGAAAAGAAAATGTTACAAAACCAACTAAATCGCCTATTCTAACCCATTTTTGTCCCTATCCTATTCTAATATTTTGTAAGTAGAAATCTGGTCCTGGCAATTGGTAGAGGGGATCAAATCATCTGAAGGAACAATTTGTTCAGGCCAGTTTCAACTCCCTACACTGTAGGTTAATGGTCTGAAACCTATCAGAAAATAACTACTCCCCTGGCTAATACCACGAAGGGCGTTGGAGTATATCCGACAAGTATCAGTGCAGGATTTTTCATTGAAGTTATTGGAACACACTTCAATTATTATTCAATTAATGAAAATATAATGCGGTAGTTGTATCGCCAACAGCATATGCAGGAATAATTCAGTGAAGAATCCTGTACTGACACCTGTCGGATATAATCCAATGTCCTTCGTGGTATTAGCCAGGGGAGTAGTTGATTTCTGATAGGTGTCAGTCTATTAACCTACACTGTAGGGAGATGAGACTGGCCTGAACGAATTATTCCTTTAGATCAGGGGTCTCCAAACTATGGCCCGCGGGTAAAATCCGGGTCGCGACAGCCAATGTTTTACTGTCATCAATCTGGCCCGCGACACCCAATGATTACCTAATTGTTGTTACTATTGCTGAAGAAGAAAACACAGAATGATAATTACTCGGTTTTATTTATTTGAAAGGTAAAACTTAACGACAGAAATTATGACAAAGAAAACTTAACTGAAGTATCTAAGTTTAAGCATATTAATAACTAACAAATAATTGAAATGAATCACAGTAAAATAAAAACACTAATGAGATTACACTCATGATGTCCATTTTTGTCAGACAGTTAAGATGATATATTTTCTGCGATGTCTTGCACCCTCCGAGCCACGGTGTTTGCTGACAAACTGACTCTTTTAAATAATTTACCTTTTCGTTGCATATTTCTTCGGCTATTGCAATCAAGCATTCTTTTATCATTTCTGCATTGGTGAATGGTTTGCCACGTTTTCTGATTTCAAGAGCCACACGAAAGCTGGCGCGAGTTGCAAACTCTTGTTCAGTATTCACTTTGGTAAACAAAGATTACTGCGATTTGAGTCCGTGTTTCAAAGCTTCAAATTTTTCCTTCCGCAAACTTCCTGTATACTTGGAGTAACTTTGAAGATGTTTCAATTCATAGTGTCGTTTAATGTTATAGTATTTGAGAACAGCTATGGTTTCATAACAAATTAAACATAACACAAAACTGAAAGTTCCATTTTTCTTGGAACGTTCTGAATTCACTGTCGATTTTTCGCTTCTTTTCACTAACAAATCACACATGAAAACAATAAGTCAACTCAAAATACTTTTATTGACGGGTGTTACTTTATTTCACAATAGACAGTTTCGCTTCCTTCGTCTTTCCTACGCAGACTAACTCGCAGTTGCGCCGCTAGCCTTTTTATATGCAATTATTACTGCCATCTCGAGGTGATCGGAATACACTAGCTAGAACCAGAATTTTCTCGAACCAACGCGGTAATTCCAAATATTTAATTACGCCTAATGCCACCCAGCGGGTAGCTGAAAAAGATAGTGCATAGTACCACTACTCACCACTAGATGTCGTTAAGTGTCACAATATACAATAATAATTGAAATGCAAAAAAGCGTAAGTTTGCTTAGGTCACGCACTTTGCGACTATCCTAGTCTAGAAATATAGTTAAGGGCAGAAATTGGCCCTTGGAACAAACTGAAAAACTCATTATGGCCCGAAGGCTTCAAAGTTTGGAGACCCCTGCTTTAGATGATTTGATTTATAGACAGTCCTCAAGTATGCCCACTGACTATATGTGGAAAAGCAGAGGGGGTGTTTCTTATCGAGTCATGATTGTAACAAATGTTATGATGAATCATTACGGAGATAACAAACAGCAACAAGAACAATCGAAGAACTTCGCTCTGCTTATTCACTTGTGGAATTGTGGCGGGCAGTTCCTATCAGGCATGGCAGTAATAGCAAGCAAATTAAACTGGTTGAGTTATTGTAAAGTAGTGTTAAACACATAAGTTGTATTTTTGAGTCACTGAATAGTCGATAATGTTATATGTGTCACTTATCAAAGAATCTAGAAGCATAACAGTACCCCCAACAAGGGAAAACTTTTTGATATTTTATTAATAATTTTCCAATTCAGTTACGATCATCCCAATTTATGAAACATTTGAAGAAATGATTATCTTGATTATCAAAACTGGTGTAATCAATAGCTTTATCATACTTCTGGTGAAAGAGAAAAGTAGTTAAGAATCATTCTTTGCAAAAAATTTCACTTTTATCTACTGAAGTCTCAATACATTCAATCAACTCACCTTTCCCAGGGAAAGTTTTTCTTCTCAATTTTCTTGACGATTTCTTCTGGCATTTTCCTAAACTGCCTCAAAGGTGACATTGACTGCCACATACGCTTGTCAATCATCTTACACAGAGACAACGACTTGTCTGCCAATTGTGCCCATCCTCGATGCAAAACAATTTCAAATATAGCTCTCATTAAGCGAGCTGCGGACTGAGTGACATATACCATATCAGACATGAGAGCAAAACCCTCCAATTTGAGCTGGGAGATATAGGCTTGTAAGAGAACATTCACTTTGGCACTAGGCTCTTCGATGCTTTCTTTAATAGGAATCGGCACACGCTCCATTAACTTTTGTAATTCCATTTTTTCTTCTGCTCTCACCGTTATATTTCGAAATTCACTTGATAGCGAAAACACCCTGAACAATTCAATATCACTCAACATTGGCTTCAGCTGCTGATTGTAAGTTTGCATTGATCCGTAAGTACAATAATAATGGGATGCTATTCTTCCCAACTCTGTTACTTGGAACTGGCCCATTTTGCGATCATACTTGATTAAACCACTCTTGTCTAAGTGGAGAGCAGCAGTATGGATCAAGTCGATTCGATGTTGCTTCAGTTTTTCGTCTTGTTTTATTTGATCATGAGATATTCCATACAGAGTAGGCTGTCGGAGCATTCTTATATACAAGTAAGTATATCCCAACCAATGAACTGCATCATCAATATTTTGTATAGTCCCGAGAACTATCTCTGCATTGAGCATATCAGGAAGCTTTGAAATCATTTGTGATTCAATAGGTAATTGTTGATTTAGGAGAGACAAATAGTATTGAAGTTCACTGTGATTGGTTATCAGTATACCTTCTCCTTTAGTGTCATATTGGGGCCGACCAGCTCTACCCAACATCTGAAGTACATCTAAGGCACCTAGTTCAACCCATCTTCCCTTTTCAGGATTATAAATTTGTGTTCCCTTGATGATAACTGTGTGTGCCGGAAGATTAACACCCCAAGCTAATGTGGCAGTGGATACAAGTACTTGAATATGTCTATCGGCAAAGAGATCCTCTACCAAAGTTCTATCAACACGGGTCATTCCTGCATGATGTATAGCAAATCCGTACGGAAGAAGATCTTTCAGCTCGTGATTTTTAACTTGTTCTGCTTCTGTCCGCAGAACCTCCATGGAAGCTGAGCCTTCACGCAAAAAGTTTCCTAGAGTGTCTTTTTCCAAGCACATATCCCTTATGGCCCTCGCAGTTTTACCTGTTTCTTTTCGGGAATGAACAAAAATAAGCACCTGGTTTTTGCCTGCGTGTTCCATTGTCTTCTCATAAACAATTTCATTCATGACTTGGCATCGCTTCAAAGCTTTCTTTTCTGTCACCCCAATGTACTGCTGTTCAAGAGCCACGGGACGGTAACTGTTGTCAAAATGAAATAAACCTGTAGAAGATTTTACTCTCAAAAATGCTGCAACATCTTGATAATTGGGAAGTGTAGCTGAGAGACCTACTAGCCGAACATCCTCTTGAGTGGATTCAATCATACGAATAGTTCTTGCAACAAGAGCTTCTAGAACTGGTCCTCTCTCATCGTGCAACAAATGAATTTCATCAATGATTATCAATCGAACGAGCGAGGTGTACGTTTTCTCCCCTCCTTTCCTGGTTACAATATCCCACTTTTCTGGGGTACAGACTATAATTTGAGTAGATGCTATCTGTTCTCTAGTCAGTTGATGATCACCTGTCAACTCTGAAACAGTCATATTGTAGCTTGCCAGCCTTTTACTAAAGTTTCCTACCATTTCTTGGGCCAGCGATCTCATGGGAGCAATGTAGATGATCTTGAAGTCATGTGCATTTATAGTCCCATTCTGATTAATATGTTTGCCAATTTCTCGCATCATACACAGTAAGGCTACATTAGTTTTACCGGCTCCGGTGGGAGCGCAAATTAGTAGATTTTCATCCGTTTCCAAAGCAGATTTGCACAGTCTACTCTGGATTCGATTTAGAGTTTTATAACCGTCGAATACTGGTTGCACATATGTAGGAAGTTGATCAATTGGAATGAGTTTTTCATTCTCTCCATATGGTTTCTGTTTCAAAGCTGGGACATGAACTTCCTCGTAACCTTAAACAAATGAATATGACAATTAAGGAAATGTTTTATTACTGATAACTGATTTTGTGAAGAGATAAGTTCAGAAAATGCCTTTTTATGGCTTTTGTCTACTTCTCCTTTAGTATATAAAAAATAAAAACCTTAAAAAAATGAACGAACAAATGCCGAGATACAGAAGAAAAAATGACCTGTGAGTATTAAATGACGGATCAATGGAGAGGTTGCATTTGATAATGGTAGGATGAATTTTAGACTCTCATGAGGGCTTCAGGAAAAGAAAATCCAAAGTGAACCGTAGTAGTAGTAGTAGTAGTAGAGTAGTAGTAGTAGTAGTAGTAGTAGTAGAAATAGTAGTAGTAGTAGAAATAGTAGTAGTAGTAGAAGTAGTAGTAGTAGTAGAGTAGTAGTAGTAGTAGTATATATTTGGTGCTAATACAAAGTTTACACAGATCATAACAGATATTGCTTATCTATAAATACAAAATATAAAATATTCAGATAACTTGAATGGTTAAATGGACAATTACTATAGATATACATACATTTGTGCAAATAAATTTTCTAGTCAAATGTTACATAAAAATTCATCGTTTTTTTCAAACTTATACACTGCAAATTCAATTAAATAGAGCCAATCTTTGATAATCCGACCCCTCGCGGTCCCTTAGTATCGGATTATCGCGAGTCAACTATATTTGAATGACATCTTTCCTGATAGTTTCATCTGCCGAAAAATATCAGTGAAGTTACTTGCAAGTGCACCAGATTTAGGTTCGGTAAATTTTTTGCAGTGCTACCTGAAGAATACAATTTATTGAACTCCGCCAGCATATTTCAATACATTATTGCTGAATGTCAAAACATTACATTGAATATGCCTCAGAACATCAAAAACAAAAGCTCTATTACTGTGCGGGAGGTGGGCATTAACTCTGTCGTGTTAGGTATCAGCCGTGGAGGTAAGAGTCCTCCTAAAGGACAGTCTTATTCTAATGTGTGTGTATTCATGCTAAAAGTATTAATGACTTTTAGTCCTCTTGTCACAATAATATGGGGTTGTTGCGATTAATCTCCTTTCTCAATCATGGAGTAACCAAAGAATTCAACCGTGAGTCTAAATAGGAGATGGACCCAACTGAACACCACTAACTGCCCTCCCAGTAACACTGAATCAAGAGATCTCCAATTCTTAATCCTATTCACATACCTATAAGACTATGTGGAACAGCCAAGAAGTGATTTATCACTTCCTCAAGATCAGAATAACATATGAATCTGCCTTGCACTAAAATTTTGAGCAGCAGAATCTGCAGCAGAATCTTAATGCTGTGCTTCAACACGTTTAGTGTGCATATCCCTGATATGAGCCACACTGGTCCTGCATCAAGTGCATACAATGGCATCCAAAAATTAAAATTAACAATAAAAGCTTAGCACTGGTTTGAGTTGGATGTACAGAAATGTTTTGGTTTTGTTTCGTGTTTTTTGTACTTCTGGCATTTCAGAAGACAGAAACCCTCAGCTGCTTCTGGGATGGAAAACTTTTTGAAATCCACAATCAAAATGTCAGGAAAAACTAGCCCTAATTCGTTTTCAATGGCCCAACCTGTATGGATTTCATCAAAGCATATGAAAATATAAAAAAACATTTCTAGAAGCATGGCGTTTCCAAGAAATTGGTTAACCATTTGAAGATGGCACTGAAAAATAGTAAATATAAAGTTGAAGTAAGGAGTATAAAGACAGAAAGAAATCTTTGTGGTGAAAACATTTCTTTCTTGGAACATGTAATACAAAAAGGCCAACTAACTTCAAACCAAAAAACCAGTACTCACCATAGTTTGCAATAGAAATTGACAGACAATGTAATAAATGAAGAGTCTGGATATGAAATTTCACTCACAAAAAATTATTTCACACTAAAAAGTAGTATATTGTGATCTTTGTTTTCAATTGAATACATCCGACTCTTATGAGGAATTGCTTCTGAGCTATAATGTCTATTTCATTAGTAGCAAACACTGAATAATAAATATAATTGATTACAAAGACCCATTAGTTATAATAACTAGTAAGGAGAACCCTGCAAATCAGAATAGCGAAGTTAAAATCATGCACTAGGAGGAAAAGTACGCTTCAAGAAGTTGTGAACATAATGCACAATGGGTTCACTCAGGCCTGTGTAGAAATCTGCAACTTATAGAAACCTTCAATCAAAAGAAGAGTGAAAAGCATGTCCAATAGACCTTTCAATAATCTAGCTTGATTTGAAATTCTTATTTTTTAATTTTATTGTGATTTGACTTTATTTTCATTTTTTAATTAAATTGTTTGTTCATTATTGATATTTTACTTACTGTTATTGTTGTAAATCATCCCCCGAAAAAAAAAGACCGGCGTCCGCTGGTCGTCGTCAATCGACTGTGACTTGACCAAGGTCTCCCTCAACTCTACTTGTGATTCTAGATCAAAACTCCGCCAGCATATTTCAATACATTATTGCTGAATGTCAAAACATTACATTGAATATGCCCCAGAACATCAAAAACAAAAGCTCTATTACTGTGTGGGAGATGGGCATTAACTCTGTCGTGTTAGGTATCAGCCGTGGAGGTAAGAGTCCTCCTAAAGGACAGTCTTATTCTAATGTGTGTGTGTGTATCCATGCTAAAAGTATTAATGACTTTTAGTCCTCTTCTCACAATAATATGGGGTTGTTGCGATTAATCTCCAATTCTTAATCCTATTCACATACCTATAAGACTATGTGGAGCAGCCAAGAAGTGATTTATCACTTCCTCAAGATCAGAATAACATATGAATCTGCCTTGCACTAAAATTTTGAGCAGCAGAATCTGCAGCAGAACCTTAATGCTGTGCTTCAACACGTTTAGTGTGCATATCCCTGATATGAGCCACACTGGTCCTGCATCAAGTGCACACAATGGCATCAAAAAATTAAAATTAACAATAAAAGCTTAGCACTGGTTTGAGTTGGATGTACAGAAATGTTTTGGTTTTGTTTCGTGTTTTTTGTACTTCTGGCATTTCAGAAGACAGAAACCCTCAGCTGCTTCTGGGATGGAAAACTTTTTGAAATCCACAATCAAAATGTCAGGAAAAACTAGCCCTAATTCGTTTTCAATGGCCCAACCTGTATGGATTTCATCAAAGCATATGAAAATATAAAAAAACATTTCTAGAAGCATGGCGTTTCCAAGAAATTGGTTAACCATTTGAAGATGGCACTGAAAAATAGTAAATATAAAGTTGAAGTAAGGAGTATAAAGACAGAAAGAAATCTTTGTGGTGAAAACATTTCTTTCTTGGAACATGTAATACAAAAAGGCCAACTAACTTCAAACCAAAAAACCAGTACTCACCATAGTTTGCAATAGAAATTGGCAGACAATGTAATAAATGAAGAGTCTGGATATGAAATTTCACTCACAAAAAATTATTTCACACTAAAAAGTAGTATATTGTGATCTTTGTTTTCAATTGAATACATCCGACTCTTATGAGGAATTGCTTCTGAGCTATAATGTCTATTTCATTAGTAGCAAACACTGAATAATAAATATAATTGATTACAAAGACCCATTAGTTATAATAACTAGTAAGGAGAACCCTGCAAATCAGAATAGCGAAGTTAAAATCATTCACTAGGAGGAAAAGTACGTTTCAAGAAGTTGTGAACATAATGCACAATGGGTTCACTCAGGCCTGTGTAGAAATCTGCAACTTATAGAAACCTTCAATCAAAAGAAGAGTGAAAAGCATGTTCAATAGACCTTTCAATAATCTAGCTTGATTTGAAATTCTTATTTTTTAATTTTATTGTGATTTGACTTTATTTTCATTTTTTAATTAAATTGTTTGTTCATTATTGATATTTTACTTACTGTTATTGTTGTAAATCATCCCAAAAAAAAAAAAGACCGGCGTCCGCTGGTCGTCGTCAATCGACTGTGACTTGACCAAGGTCTCCCTCAACTCTACTTGTGATTCTAGATCATTCTAGGTATCAAGTTGCTTCGAGAATAATTATATCGGCTCTCTAAGACTTCCATTGGCATATATAAACACTGACAACACGCATATCGGCAGAAGTCTAGATGACAGTGCGTTGTGAAGTGCTTCAGGAAGGCGACAGACATTTGAATACTGGTTTGAAGTTTTAGCTGTAGTTTAGGTTGTATTGTCAGTGTAGCAGCAAAATAAAGTTAAGTTTGATTGTACAGTGTAGTCAATTATTGTTAAACTAACGGAGAAAACGTAATATTATCAACATATTTCCTAACACTAAACAGTTTTACAAAAACGAAACACGTATTTCGCGATACAATGGCTTCTTCAGGCGGGACAAGATCCTAATTTTTTTACCCATTTATATAATCATTGAAAACACTAATATAAGAAAAAAATCAAGAAAACATGCTAAGTTGATTATTGAAAAAACGGGCCTAATAACTTTCAGTAAAAGAAACAACTTTGTAGAATTCCCATATGTGAAACCCAAATGCAAATCGATTCCATTAGATCATATAAAATTCTTAGGCATTATACTAGATCCAAACTTCAGCTGGTAATCACATATAAACATCTTAAATAGTAGGCTGAATGCCATCTGTCGACTTACACAATATCTACGGGACCGAGTATCTGTCAGTTGTTTGAGAACATATTGCTACGCTCATGTTCAGTCAATTATTTCCTATGAGATCATATTTTGGGGCTTTTCGTCAAGCTCACAAAAAATATTCATAACAAAAAAAATTATAAGATGAATATCAAGATTGGATCATAATACTTCATGTAGCACATACTTTTCTGATCTTGACAGTGCCTTCATTGTATTTCCTGGGCTTTGTCAACTTTGTGAATAAATATTCCTCCTGTTTCCTAAAAACTCTGATCAATATTCTGCATCTGCAATACTAGGCATTGAAATGAACTATCTGTCCCTTACCATTAATCAACGTCCACGCTACCAAGCAATCAAATCATATATCTCCCTACTTCAAGTACTGAAATATATTATTACAGGTCTGAAAAAGTTCAGAAGTTCTGTCATAAGTTACTTGAAGCAGAAATGCTATTATTCTTTAAAACCTGACCCTGACTGCTGTGTCCTGTGTTGTCGATCAATTTACAATAAAAGTATCATTATTATTAAATTTACCTTTTCTCTGCTTCCTGAACGATCCTTCTGGTAGATTACACTTTTTATTGGCCATAAAATGTGATCCCTGTTTGAATACCAGATCCTCAAAATCTACAAGATGCCTAGAACCCGCAACTTGAGCACTTGCCAAATCCATTTCATGAGACTCCTTCTTTCGCCGCTTTGTTCTAGAAGTGGATTCACCATCTATATCATCATCATCATCATCCCTTCCTGTCTCCAATAGTTTCAAAATACGTTTCAAAGAGGAATCTTCAGACATTTTGTCCTTAATTTTTAACCTTTCCGAATCACTCTGTGATTGGGCCAGAAGAGTACAGTATAAAACTGAAAAAAAAATGTTTTTTTATGATATATTGGAAAAATCAAATATTTGTTAACACCGAAAATATATACACCTTTTGAAAAAATTCAGAGAATTCAGAATTTGCTTTTTGCATAAGAAAATGTTTTTTTTTTCCGCAAAGTTTTGTTATTTTTTTGTGGGTTTATTCATTCATACGGAAATATCTCTTCAGTTCATGATAACGGACATTATTACTATCCAGCCTCTTTGGCTTATGGAAACATTCATTCAGAACTCGTTAAAAAAAACAAAAAACAATGAGAGGATAGCATACACCTGGTACTTTAGGTAAATTNATTTTTAAAACATCATGGATCTGAATCATTGAATCATGAAAAACGGTGGCATTTAATTTTTTTTAATGCCAACAGAGAGTTCCTAAAAAACGTATTATTGGATAATGTCATCTTTTGAATGAGCTCATCTCTGAAAGTTGATATCCATGAGAAACTTCAACATGATTTATGATTGGTGTAAAAAATAAAAAGTGTAGGCTTTCCTAGTCAAAAATAACTTTTTAAGCTATTTTCCAAGTTTGTTGGCCATGGTCTGCAGGTTTTCATGCCGATAGTTCGCCTACAATTGCGGTAGATATTATCAAATATGATGAGACAACAGACAATTTGCTCTAAAGTCAATCCAAATCCAAGATAGAGTGAAACAAAACAAAACCGAAGCGTGATGTTCACGTGATCGCACAGTGTCAGATGGAAAGGGCAGCGTTCATTGGTGAATTCGCCTTCTTGGTACGAGTTCGGTACCAGCACAGGGTTGTAATCAGTCAGTCGTTTGCGTGCGTTATAGTATATTGTTTAAAATTGTTTTCCAAGATGTCCAGTACAGACACTGCTGATGACACTGTGAGCTATCCTCTGAGTCCAGCCAGGAAACGATCCAAAAAAAGACATTTGAGTGTTGAGATGAAAGAAGTGATTTTAAATGTGTTCAAGA